TTTCCCTTACTTCCCCAATAAGCCAGGGAATTCAAAGGTTAAACTTTCAGATTACAACTAAGTTATCAGAACCCAAAAATTTAAAGGTTGGGTATGGGAAAAAACTAAGTCTTTGGGCCCTAGTTTAAGGCCCCTGAACCCAGACCTGTCTGGTTTTTGGGCCCTGGCTTAAGGCCCCGGAACCCTAGCCGTAAACCCTAAAACTCCAGCGCCGATGCCTTGAACTGTGGCCCCCCATCTGCTGCAGTGCCAACCTCTGACGTGACTAGGTTTTAAGGCGCCTTTTCAGGGTTTAGGGTTTGGGTTTGGGGTTTAAGGTTTAAGGTTCAGGGTTTAGGAAGTTTATGGTTTAAAAGGTTATGGGGCTTAAGGCTTAGGGCTTCTCGGGTGTGGGTTTGGGTTTGACTTCTGGGACCTCACGATCTTCAACTCAGCTCAACGGACAGCAGCTTTCCTGACAGCAAAAAAACCTACAAGCCTCCAACCCTTTCCCGAAATCCACCCTTGACCTACATCCTAATTGCCACAAACGCCTGCAGCACTTGACTTCTCCAGGCATCAGCACTGTTTGCCCGTGCAGGAAAATACTCGGGCCTCAAATCGGCATGTCTGTTTTGCACTTTGACAAGGTGATCGTACCAACAACAGACAGACCTAGTAATAAAGACGGTGGCCGAAATACAGGAAACACCAGCAAAGCTAGTCTCAACAACGCCATAGTTGACCATCGCACGGGTGAAAAGCAAAAGACGCAAGGATTGCAGCCACTGTTAGACGACGTACTAAACACGAGCAGCGAGATGGGACGAGTAAACAAACACTGAAGCTGAAAGCCTTCCAACATTTCAACAGCACTCAACCCTTGACCTTAAGGCCCAAAACCCTAAACTGTCATACATACATACATACATACATACATACATACATACATACATGCATGCATGCATACATACATACATACGTACATACATACATACATACATATATATATATATATATATAGATATACGAACACACTCACACACATCCAACCATCCATCCATCCATCCAGCCATCCATCCAGCCATCCATCCATCCATCCATCCATCCATCCATCCATACACGTATATGATGTGATACACACTTACATATAGATATATATATACACACACACAAACCCCTCAGCCTTGAACCCCTAGAAAACCAAACTTCCTCAGGCGGCAGCGCCGATGGCACCGGTGTACTCGGACGACATGTCCTGCACAGACGTTGTGGGCTTGTGCTGTAAGGGTGCTTGTGAGAAGCGATCTTTTGAGGAGGATGCTATATAGCTTTTAGAACGGCTTTGGTAGAGCGTTTTAAGGAAGAGTTCTATCAGGGTTTTATATATGCCTTCAAAGGCTAAAGGCTTTTGTAGAGTTGTCCACGGGTTCATCAGACAAACCCTCACAGTTAAAAAAAAGGTTGGGCCACCCTGAATGCCCTGAAAATCAAAAGACCCTAAACCCTAAACCCTAAACCCTAAACCCTGAACCCTGAACCCTGAACCCTGAACCCTAAAGCAAAGGGCCCCAAGAAGCCCCAGGAAGCCTAGGACATCCGAAGATGGAAGCGGATTAGGGTTTAGGGTTTAGGGTTTAGGGTTTAGGGTTTAGGGTTTAGGGCTTAGGGTTTAGGGTTTAGGGCTTAGGGTTTAGGGGTTTAGGGCTTAGTGTCCGTATAGTCTCTGTTTTTGCAGCTCCGTTTTTTTGGTGTAGTCGGTTTTTATGTCGACACTGAGTCCTATGATTTATAATATCAAACTGGTTGGAGCTCCAAAAAGACCAGGAGACTATAGGTAAACCTTAAACATTAAATCCGCAGCCCTCAAACCTAAACCTAATAACCCCAAAATTGAAGGTTTGGGGTTTGAGGTTTAGGCGCTAAACCTCAATCCCAAACCTTCAAATATAGCTCCCTCCTAAACGGTAAAGCCTAAACCCCAGACCCTAAAGATCCGCAAAGCCTAAAATACGAATTCCTAAGGACATGAAACCTCATACATCCCTGCTGCATCAGGTGTAGGAAAGCCAAAAGCCACACTAAACCCTTTGAAACCCTAACCCTAAAATCCTAAACCCTAAACCCTGACCCTAAACCCTAAACCCTAAACCCTAAAATCCTAAACTTCAAACCCTAAAACCCTAAAAACCAAACCCTAAACCCTAAAACCCTGAACCCTAAAATCCTAAACTCCAAACCCTAAAACCCTATAAAAACCAAACCCTAAACCCTAAAATCCTAAACCCTAAGATCCTAAACTCCAAACCCTAAAACCCTATAATCCTAAACCCTCAAGACCTAAAAATCAAACCCTAAACCCGAAAACCCTAAAATCCTAAACTTCAAACCCTAAAACCCTATAAAAATCCAAACCCTAAACCCTAAAACCCTGGAAACCGTCCTCCAGTGGCGTGAGCGCCTGGAGTCGGGAAGATCCGTCCGGGGCGATTTGGACCTTTGCAGATAAGAAAACCCCCACAGCCCCCCGGTTTAGGGTTTAGGGTGTAGGGTGTAGGATTTAGGGTTTAGGGTTTAGGGTTTACGGTTTAGGCTTCAGGGCGTTGGGGTTTAGGATTAATCGCTCCCCCCGTTTATTTAACCCCCAAAAAATCCAACACATTGGGGCGAATCCCCCGCCCATTAAAACCTAGTCTGAATTAGAGGGAGGGTTTCGAGCCTCCGAATACTCTGAGAGCACAGTAAGAGCAAGAGCACGAACAAAAGCACGAGCAGGAGCAAGAGCAAAACCGGCAGCATCAGCAAGACTAGCAAGAGCAAAGCAAAAGCGAGAGCGGGAGTAAGAGCAAGAGCAGGAGCAAAAGCGGGAGCAACAGCGGGAGCAGGAGCAGGCGCAAGAGACGCAGAAGAAGCAGGAGATCCATCCAGAGCAGGAGCAAGAGCACGACCCTTCACCCAATAACAAGAATACTTTCCGAGTTTTGATTGCGGGGAAGCGGGGCGCCCCTTCTAACATCACAGGAAAAAGGTTCAGGCCCCCAACCTATCGATTCCCTCGTAGATCTCCACAGGGCCTTTTCAATCCTCGTCAAAAAGAACCCTGTTCGAAGTAGTCGAGCCCATATATTAGGATCGGGCCGTGAAGACGCGCTGTGTTAGGGTTGCTCTAAGTAAGGGAACTACAGGGGTTATTGTCAGGTTTCCTCTGAAAGGGATCTACCCTAAACTCTAAACCCCTAAACCCTAGTGTACTTCAAGGGTTCCTGTCAGGAGTCTCAAGGGATTCTCTTTAGCTTCTTCACTTCTCGTGGCTATAGTATAGACCACGGAAAGAAGTCAAAGCGAATCCCTCTATATCCCTCAAAAATGTGGAGGTTTGGGGTTTAGGGCTTCGGGGGAAAGTTTCATTTATGGTTTCGAGTTTTTAGTGTTTTAGGCTCAGGGGTTGGGGCAAGCTATGCAATGAGGGCCACCCAGAAACCCGAAACGCCCAGCTCACCGTTAGTAAGGAAAGTTCTTAAGCTGCAAAGGGCGCCTTCAACAAAACAAAGCCCTAAACCCTCACCAAAAAAGCCCTTCAGCAGATGTAGAACCGCTATAACTCCAGAGAAAGGACTATACAGAGCCTTCATAAGACGCCCTTACAACTAAAGGAGCCCCAAGCCCTTCGACTTAACCCCTAAACCCTAAAACC